CCCAACCGCTCCACTCCCACTCAACCCGTTAGTCCTGTTCCCCTCTGCTCCCGTCTCCACGTCCGCCAACTTATACACTCTACCCTCCCTCCTTCGACGTCACCACCTTTCATCTTTCACGTTCCATAGTATTCATGCTCTCATTCCATTTTCCCTGGCTTTCCATGAGGTTTGGCATTCCACATTGTTTCGTCTCCTCTCTTGTTTCTACCGTCATCACTCCCACACTCCTTTTCCGTGTAATCCTTGAAAGGATTCTACTTATTTGCCAGTCCCTCACCTCCTTCTGCTACTACCACCCCTACTCCTACTCAACCCACCTTCTAAAAGTTCTTTCTCCGTTGTCCTCATGTTGTGTCTTGAACCATCTCTCGCAGCTCTCCTTTGTCTAATCATATCCTTAAATCTTGTATTCTCAGCTACTTCTACCACTCCTTCAAATTATTCCTACCAGCTACTTCAAATTATTTGTTTATCACTGTACCGCATGTGCCTCTTCTTCCTTCGTTACCATTCCTTAATGCACACCTCGACATCTCAACCCAATTACGTGCTCTCTCCTGAGTCTTCTTTTTTAGGTCAGAGGCAGGATTGCTGCTCTCTCTGCAGTATCTCTGACAGGGAGGCCCCACGTTTTGCGAGATTTGACGGTGGTGGATTTTAGATACTCGTTTGATAACTAAGTCGAATTCAGCCGCTGAATGGAGAAGAAGTCTAGCGAGCGGCTGCTTTGATCTGTAGTTTTCCGTGGTTTCTGCGATCTATACCAGGCGAATGCTGGAGCAGTCCCCTAACAAATGGACCACGGCACGCGTGTGATCTTTTCTTCTTCTTTCCTGTCTTCACCACTTACACCCATACTTGCATACTTGCATGCACTACACTATCATATATGCCGGGAGACCATATATTACTCAAACTACTAAGTATCTTAACCAATAATTGGGTGATTGGATCAGTAATTTATTGGATAGTTTTATAAATTAATCCTTCTAAATCCATAAAGCATATTGCAAAAAATAATGATTTAATGCAATTACAATTCTATATTAAAATGTTATTCACTGACAACCTCATAAAAACGTATAGCTGACATTCCACTGCTACGAAGTATAGAAAGAACTTCAGTTAACATATAAATTTTATTTTTTTATTTTTAATAACGTACAAGTTTTGTGGAATCAAGGAATTCTAAAAAAATCAGCAGACAGAATGACATTACTCCATTTAGTGTTGCGTTTTACACGCTAAAACCGAGAAAAATCTCTAAATTTAACGTTTTTGTACAGCTTTGGTCGTCTTCTGCATCCCAATTTCCATTCCTCTTTATCCCGTAGGTCTTTTTCCTCCATTTATCTTTTTTCTGTGACTTCAATTATTGCCATGTTCATGTCCATCTCGGCCTTCGTCTGCATCTTCTTCGATTGAGTATCCAGTCTCAATCTTTTTGTCGAAGTCTGTCTGATTCCAACATTCTGATACGTCCATACAAGTTCAGTTGTTTTATTTCGATTGTCTCGTTTAAGGCCGTGTTTTCTTCCATTTTATTTCTTATTTTTTCATTTATTATTTTGTCTAACAGAGAAAGTTTATAAATGATTGTTTGTTGAAAGTTTATAAATGATTAAATGAATTTCTGATGTTCTTTGCCAGAACATCATTTCTGTTGCTTGCAGTTGTCTCTCATAATTTTTGTTAGTGAACAGACGTCTGCCCGATAGAGTATTGTACTCTCAATGATAAAGCTATTTATGTGTTTCTTTGTATTTTTTGGAATACTCGTAATTGAGTTCCACAGCATTGAATTCAACTGTCTGGTTGCTATTTTTCTGCTCACATTTTAATTTTTCACATAATTTTCATCTCTACCATCTTCTCTTTGTGTGACTAATATATGTGTTGTTGATATTATTTTTCTTCAATTGCACTCATGTTCTTTTTCTGCCATATTATCATACGACTTTTTAAGATCTATGAAAATTATGCGAAGTTCTCTTCCTCGCTCAATTATTTTTTCTATCAGTTGAGACATAAATTATAGTCTATATAAGATCTTCCTGGTCTACAGCCACTTCCCCTGGCCTAAAGCAATTTCTATTCTTTAGCACACTTTCCATACAGTCTAACCAAAGATGAAGTCAAACTTATCCCTCTATAATTGTTACAATCTTTTCTACCACCTGTTTTGTAAATTGAATTTATATAAGTTAATTTCCATATTTCTGGCATTTGCCTCCTTTTAAAATTCCATTGAATATTTCTGTAATTAATTCCACACCAATGTTTAACAAGCTCTATGGTTATACCTGCAGGCCCCAGTGCTTTATTGTTTTTTATGTGTCTTAAGTTTATTTTTTACCTCTTCCAAAATCATCAATTGTGCGATCGAATTTACCTGCAGAGTTTCATAATTTATTCCCTGAAATTCATTTCTATTTTCTGTCTAATATTTTCATCGTAATTTTGCCATTTTCAATACCATTTGGGTCTACTAAATGGCATTCTTAGGTAATATTCAATTTCATGAGCATTGAAATCCGGACTCCGGAGTTCATTCTACCACTATTTGAAGCACTTTTGCTTCTGAACAGAAGCTAAGGATAGGAAACGGAAGCCTCCGAGCTTCTCAGTCTACTCATTGGTTCCCGGGGTTCAGGAAAGGATTTTATGGAAGATATCTTACAGTTACGGATAACGGCGAATCACCCCTCTAGTTTGGGCATATCAGGCTACTACCTAGAGAAAAATATCTTTAATTAAAATACTCCAAATAAAATTGTTCACATCCTGCTTACAGTGATTCTTTCTGAGGAATACTTGGATCAATTTTATCCTATTGCATTCGATGAGTTAAATTGAAAAACGAGATTTGTATTAATATGACAGTAATATTAATCATGGACCAGACGTTCATTCTATGAACCTAGTGGAGTTCCGCGGAAATAAGAGTGTTGGTGTGGGAGATTTTACGTGCTCTAAAGACTTTTTACAACATTCTCGATGTGTTTCCAACTCTGAAGAAAAATGGCCTAGAGCAATGTTTTTTCCATACATGTAAAGTACGGAAGTTTGTATTCTACTCTTGATGTATTCTGTGTTAAAATAACTTGCCGTAAAATCAATGTTCCTTTGAGTTCCAAAGTGACGACAGTTCTATATACAAGAGGAGAGAGCTGTCTCTCGTATTTCTTTCGAGGGAAAAACTCCGGCGTGCCCCTTCAGGATTGAAAGATTCTCCAGCAGAGGCGCCGTTCCCCACGCGGGCGCGCGCGCGCACACACACATACACACACGCACACAAACGCACACATGTTCGCCGCCGCCTAAAGCGGATGAAGTAATCAAGGAAGCTCGAGAACCAACAAGAGCGAAGTCTCATGTAGAATGCTCTTTCGCGATGGCCGACTCACGCGCCGCATTTTAGAAGAGCAGAGTTCATGCGTGACGCCGGCGTTTCGCAAAGGGGCCTCCCTCCCTCCCACCCACCACCCGACCTCCGTAGGCTGGAGTGCGTGTATGGATGCGTGCTGCACGCGCGCAAGAAGTAGCTGGATGGGTTCCTTTAAGGATGTGCGAGTTACGTTCTTTTTTAGCACGTTCTTCTCTGTTGTGTACCAGTTGTCAGACACACACACAAACGAAGCGTTAGCTTGGTGGAAAAGGAATGTGGGAGTGAATAAATTCCTTTTTCGAAAACTGGTGTCAGAAGAAATTGCAGAGAAGAATGAAGATGTTTGAATCCCGAATGTGGAAGAAAGACTGCAGCTCTCCATTTTCATAATGTTTACTTATGTAATAGCTGATTACAGTTTAATTTAATGCGTATTTATATCACTGAGGGTATTACTATCACCTGATTAATTAGGGATGCTCAGTCGTTAAGGTATTAGCACTATATTTTGCGGGAAGGTAATTCTGGCAAAGCGCAGTTTCAATTTCTAAAGGAATTCAATATTTTTTTGGATAACTTATAAAGATTTTTTAACAACTACAAACAAATGATCGAATTTTGTTTCTTTCAATAAGATGTGTGTAGCATCGAAAGTGCCGAAACTTCAATTTTGAATCAAAACTATTAAATTATGAAGCGTCTGACAATCTCCAACAAACTATAAGGCACATTTGAATGGGAAACCTTTTTGTTTTGCAATGGTGGTATTTTAATAGAAGGAAATGTTTGATTACATATGTTTTATTTTCCTCACAGTAATGTCATATTCCAATGACATTTTCATTCGCATTAATTTCAACGAGTTTTGAAATAAATTTCTGAAAAAATATATAAATACGACATTTTAATTATTCCATTTATCATCAATCATACTGCTTTTCAGTATTACACGAGAGCAGTAATTATGTTGGTACAATTATTAAACAATTATTTACTTTATTTTAGTTTGATGTTTGATGTTGATTTAGTTGACACATAATTCTCCGGATGATGACCGTTTGCCTTGCAATTAAATTGAAAACGTATTTTCAAATAACAGTTATTAATAGAACAACTTAAAAATAACGAATTAAATACACACCTATGTTTCCCTATCTTTGTGTTTTTCGGAGATTCATTTTATATGAACATAATAAATTACAAAAAATGTTTGGAGATTTAAATTTGCCAATACGATGTTTCTGTAATAAAGAATATCACATTCTCTATCCAAATGGCATTTCTCTTCTTAATTGTCTCAAAAAAGTTTTCTCTTTCTTTTCGAACTTCTTTGTTTCTAACCTGATTTTCATAATCCAGTCGCAAAATTTTGCCACATTCGATATGTATTGATTCATTTTTCTGATTTTCTTAATGACTATGTGTCCTAGTAGTATGCAATCACTGAGGCAGTCAAATGCACTTATTTCAACTCGTGTGCCTTTTAAATAATCACAAGACGTAATAACCATAAAAAATTGTCAGCAATGTGCAGAAATTTACGATTTATCTGTATGTATTTGCGTACTAGTTAGACTTGTTACTTCTGCACATTATTGACATCAATAATATGTCTTTAGTAAGTATGTAATATGTCATTATTCGTAATCAGTAGAGTTCTGATAGAGTATGGGTTGGTCATGTGGACGGTGCACAAGATAAGACACTACGCAAAACTTAACAGTTACATGTGTCAGTTTTCTTGTGCATCGATAATGTACGGCACGTACGGCCATTACGCTCATATTCAATTATAGTGGCTTGTGACGTTTGGTTAGCTGGACGTGGCTATCCAATCGCGAGATTTGTTACGATTTATCTTGATATGGTAATTTATGTGGACTTGATTGGATAATCACGTCCCAGCTGATCAAACGTCAGAAGCTACTATAATTAAATTGGAGAATATAAATAATATCATTATCAATAATAATAATAATAATAATAATAATAATAATAATAATAATAATAATAATGATGATGAATGCTAATGCCAATGATGACAATGGTGATAGAAATAATTAATATGGGGACAATGATTACAGCCATATGGACTGTGCTGATAACCCATCTAATGTGTAATTTTGATTGCAGTCCTGCCTGTGTGCAAGAACGGCCAGCAGCGCGCGTACGGCGTGGCGCGCGGCGAGCCGGCGCGGGTGCTGTGCGAGCTGGAGGCCAACCCCATGGACATCCACTTCACATGGAAGTTCAACAACACCAGCGACGCCGTCGACCTGCCCGTAAGCCTCGTGGCGGCGGACCGCTCGCGCTCCATCGCCACATACACGCCCATGACGGAGCTCGACTACGGCACGCTGCTGTGCTGGGGCCGCAACGAGCTCGGGGTGCAGCATGAGCCCTGCGTCTACACCATCTCTCCAGCCGGTGAGTGCGCGAAGGAATGGCAATCCCAGACGGATTAAGATGAATGCATGTGTTTGGGAATGAGTGAGTGCGAACCAGAGAGGAGATCCATGGCAGGTAATTCAGTGAGGGTGTTTCAGAGAGGGAGATGAACCACGAAGGGTGAACGACGGAGGGAGAACGATAGAGGGTGAACACAGGAGGGTTAACGAAGGAGGTTGAACGCAGGAGGTTGAACGCAGGAGGTTGAACGCAGGAGTTGAACGCAGGATTGCCACTTGAACGCAAGGAGGTTGAACGCAGGAGGTTGAACGCAGGAGGTTGGAACGCAAGGAGGTTGAACGCAGGAGGTTGAAAGCGCAGGAGTTGAACGCAGGAGGTGAACGCAGGGAGGGGTTGAACGCAGGAGGTTGAACGCAGGAGGGTGAACGCAGGAGGTTTGAACGCGCGGAGGTTGAACGAAGGAGGTTGAACGCAGGAGGTTGAACGCAGGAGCGTTGAACGTAGGAAGGTTGAACGCAGGAGGTTGAACGTAGGATGTTGAACGCAGGAGGTTGAACGCAGGAGGTTGAACGCAGGAGGTTGACAACGCAGGAGTTGAACGCAGGAGGTAACGGAGGTTGAACGCAAGGAGGTTGAACGCAGGAGGTTTGAACGCAGGAGTGAACGCAGGGTTGAACGCAGGAGGGTTGAACGCAGGAGGTTGAACGCAGGAGGTTGAACGCGGAGGGTGACGCAAGGAGGGTAAGCCGTGAACGCAGGAGAGGAACGAGGGGGGTAAGAGAGGAACGCAAGGAGGTTGAACGCAGGAGGGTGAGCGCAGGAGGGTGAGCGCAGGAGGGTGAACGCAGGAGAGTGAACGAGGGAGGGTAAACGAGGGAGGGTGAACGACGTAAGGTGAACGAACGAGGGCGAGGAGCGAGGCCGCAGGAACGAGTACGAAGGGGCGAGGGTGAAGAAGCAAGGGCGAACGAAGAAGTGTGAGCATGTATGTGAAAAATCAAAGAATAAATTAATGTAGATGAATTATTTTGTTTCTAATTCAAGTAACATTTACGATTTCATGCGACTATTCTTATGATTGTCAATCTATTGACATTTGCCCATTAGTCCAGAGGATCCAGAAGAATTTGTCGCAGTGTACATTTACAATCTTTCAATCATCATGTTGAGTAAAAAAGTAACGCTTGACGAAATGAATTATTCGTTAATGCCACTAGAAGCATTAACATTTCACTGCAATAAATATTTGTATAATTTTCATTCCCGAGTTTCAGTCACATAGATTCGAATACTTAGGCTCAGGGGCTTGGGACAGATACTTTGAAAGTACGTTGAAACTAAAGCTGTGGGCCCGAAATACGCGTACGACATGAATGTTAACAGCTGCGTTTGTGGTACTGAGTTTATTCCCAGCATTTCGTGAATCACCACTAAACCGTAATTTTTCACAATGTCTTGTCCTTACCAGTAACTATGTTTAATTGATTGACGTTTCCGTGCGCAGCAGCTGCAATGGCCATTAGTCTCTTTAGTGCAATTTTATTCCAGGAGATAACAGCGTTCCTCCCGCACTAGAAAGTAAGTCCCAGCGCCGACCTACATGTTGGCTTGCGGGAGAAATACGCCTCCAGGTATATCGCACGACGGGTCACCATTCTAGAGGGGATAATCCCCCGACTGGGCGCGCCACGTCTGTCGTAATGCAATGCATTAAAAGTGTGAGTGTGTGTAAGGGGAGAGGATGCAAGAAAGAGGAAGGACAGATTTGCGCTTTGTGCGTGGCCCGTTTGTGAGGGTTCTGATCCGGCATTCAGCTGCTCGGGTATTTCTCCCAGGAGAATGGTAGTTGACGGATATTAGCCGTGAAGAGGTGTGTCGTAAAACCGAAACATGGCATCCACTAAACAGGACTGTGAATGTACTCAGCTTTAAATGATATTGGGACATTATTATTCGATTCAGAAGTCGAATCGAAAATATTCTAAAACTAGTAAAATATTCTTTAAGTTATAAAATCTTGAATATCGAATCTTATTACAATATCAATATCAATAAATGTCTACAAAACTTCTAAGAGGGATCTACTTTCAGTTAATGCTTCAAATACTCTCTTTACAGAGCTGATCTAAGGTAGGTAAGAAAACAGCGAAACTTTCTTAAAATTAGCTAGTAACTAGGAATTTTAATCTAATCTAACAGCTTTGATCAAGATAGAAGCAGAGTACGGCCATAAAACGGATAAAAGTGGATAAAAAGCTGTATGGGCTAACCATATTTCGTTCTCCAAAGATAGCAGACATAGAGCAGTTCATAAGGGTCAGTATTCTGATCATTGAGCTTTTCCAAAAGAACTGAAAATTGACGTCATATATACGATTTGTAGACAAATAATACTTTAGTCGTATTACAATTGATGATCTTAAATCATTGAAGATTGGATAATATTACCCTGTGGCAGGTGTAAATGACATTACAAGAATTATATATCTATTTAATTGGTAAATATTGCTGTGTCAAAATTGAAAAATCTTACTACCCGTGATTCGGAAAAATATAATGTTGCGTGCATACCATTACATTCTCCAGGTGCAAGTCAAAATGCCCACAGAAATACATCGAGCACAATTCCATCCCAACTCGAATTCTATCCCAACTCCTAAGAACATACTACAACGCACTGTTCGTGTAATTTCGCCATGTAGAATTCAGTGGTTGTTGGTTTTTATTGAGCTTGTTCTACTGGCATACAATTCCACTCGCTTGGCCTCCCGAAGTTGGGAAGTAATGGAAAAATAGTTCGTGAAACAAAAGCACACACAAAAAAAACTTATCGGTTATTTTCATTCCAACGGCGACCAGCTCCGTACGCCTCCGTCGCCTCAGCATATCGACACAGGGCGACGAGCCACACTGGCCTGCGCGGGTGGGGCGGGCTGCGAGAGAAGTTCGTGAGACGCGCCCTGAAGGACAATATCAGAAAAACTCTCCGAACCCGATACGAAATTTGTAGTTTCCAAACGAAAACGTCTCCATCTTCTCTCTTCTTACGAGAGTCTCTCCCCTCTGTTCCGAGATTTAAAAAATAGCCCCGCCTTACTTTTCCAACGACGACCCTTCTCTGTCCTCTCGCGCGGGGGCCAAGTCCGATCCCACTTCTTCGACGCCTCACCTCCAGTGGAGGACAGGAGGGGGTGGGGGTGGGTGGGTGACGAGCCTGCGAGGAAAGGAACCCTTACAACGAAGAAGAAGAAAAAGACCACGGATGTTGGAAAAGGATGGTTGAAGAAGAAGAATGAACTGCCTGGAGCGTTTGGGATAACACTTCACCAAAGAAGAAAAAAAACAAGAGTAGCAGATAAGAACTGAAAATGACAAGCACCATGAGAAACAGACGGATGAATATATAAAGCACGTAACGACAAAATGTGTAGTAACTGTACTACGAAAAACTAAGTTCGATATTTACATGAAAGGTTGAAAAGTAGCACGTGTTAAATACGAAAGAGGTGATAAAGAGAAGGAAAAATAGCTGCCCGCGATTTGGTGCGGATTAATAAGGGAAAAACATCAATACCAAGAAAATTACCGCGGAGACCCGTAAGTCGACGGAACGGAATAGAACAAAGAACGGGTAGGGGTGCGGAAATGCAACCACTCGTACGAAAGGGGGCAAACAAGAGAACTATGCGAAAGAAGGTGAGAAGAAGAAGAAAAACGTGTTCGCCCGATGCGCGTGGCGCGCAGGGTGTGGCGCAAGCGCAACTTTCAGGTGACCGGTAATGGCTCAAGGCTGGCGCGGCGAGAAAAGCGGTCGATCTCAAATTAAATCCAATCGAGCAGTCGGACGTCGCCGCATTTGATACGCGACCGCTCCGCGGCCTTCGCCGTGCACCTGGTGCTGCGGAGCAGGACCGACTTCGTTTATCAAGCCAAGAAGACATTGCGTCGACACACTCGCCCCCGTCGCGCGTCGCCCCCCGTCGCCCCCGTCGCCCCCGTCGCCCCGAACGTCGCCCCCGTCGACCCCGTCCGCCCCCGTCGCCCCCCGTCGCCCCGCGGTCGCCGCGTCGCCCCCCGTCGCCCCCGTCGCCCCCGTCGCCCCCGTCGCCCCCGTCGCCCCGTCCCCCCGTGGTCGGCCCCCGTCGCCCCCGTCGCCCCCGTCGCCCCCGTCGCCCCCGTTTCGCCCCGTCGCCCCCGTTCGCCCCCGTCGCCCCCGTCGCCCCCCGTCGCCCCCCGTCGCCCCCCGTCGCCCCCGGTCGCCCCCCGTCGCCCCCGTCGCCCCGTCGCCCCCGTCGCCCCCGTTCGCCCCCGTCTCGCCCCCGTCGCCCCGTCGCCCCGGTGCGCCCCGTCGCCCCCTCCCCCCGCGCCCCCGGTCGCCTCCGTCGCCCCGTCGCCCCCGTCGCCCCCGTTCGCCCCCGTCGCCCCCGTCGCCCCCGTCGCCCCCGTCGCCCCCGTCGCCCCGTCGCCCCCGTCGCCCCGTCCGCCCCCGTTCGCCCCGTCGCCCCCGTCGCCCCCGTCGCCCCCGTCGCCCCCGTCGCCCCGTCGCCCCCGTCGCCCCCGTCGCCCCGTTCGCCCCCCGTTCCCCCCGTCGCCCCGTCGCCCCGTTCGCCCCGTCGCCCCCGTCTCGCCCCGTCGCCCTCGTTATCTCCCTTCGACCCAGTCGCCACGAGCCCCGTCGTCCCGCGCCCCCATGCCTCCTTTTGCCCCCTAATCCCCCTCGCCCCCGCACCATCGCCTCATCTTCCATCGCCTCCTTTGCCCCGCCCGCCCCCGCTTTACCGTTCACCCCCTGTCGCCTTAGCCCTTGCCGTCCCCGTCCACTGCCCTCACCACACTCCCCCCTTCGCCCTGACACCCCATCGTCTCCCGTCGCCCCTTCGCCTCAACTGTTCCCCTCTTGTCCCCTCTATGCCCCCCCTTGCCCCTCTCTTCCCCTCTCTCCCCCCTCTCGTCCCCTCTCTGCCCCTCTCGCCTGCTCTCTCCCCCCTCTCGTCCCCTTCTCTCCCCCCCTTCTCCTATCACCTCCCCCCTCTTTCTCTTTCGCCCCCGTCGCTCCCTCGTCGTCTCTCCCCACTGCCGCCTACGTCGCCCCCGTCGCTCGCGAAACCAGGAAAGGAAGCGGGCCGAGCGAAATGGATTGAATGTTTAAACACCGAACCGGCCTGAAAGAGACCCTCCCCGAAGAGAGTGCCTCGCGGTACTTCCGCAAATTTAGTGCTGGTGGCCTTCCTCGAGCAGATAGGAAGGATGCGTATTTACCTCAGAAATAACTGTGAGGGTATTATGTTGAATAAGATTGTGTTTCTGGATGCCGACGTCCCATTCCGAACTTCCTGGCACGTTCCTCTGTAGCGTATCATTTCCGTTATTTATTACCGTCTTCCTTTATTTCTTCGCGCGCATCTTCTTATTTGAAGATTTCCAAAGAAGAATCGAGACTTTTCTGCTTTGGGTTTCCTTTTAGTTGTCATAACAATGCCTGAATGGAAAATATACCGGCTGTGTTTATAAGTGCATCCTGTTTGAATTCTAGTCAAAACCGATCCTGTAAAACTGTCATGAATAATACGATACGTGCATTTTTACGGGTGGGTTTGGGAAGCCTTTTTTTATTCACCAGTTGATGTTGCTGAATTTAATTTTCATAAATAAATAATTAGAACGCTGTTTTTTTATTGGTCTCAAAGTTGGATTGCATTTAATTGTGATTTAGTACCACTTATAATAAATCTGCATTCCAATAGGAAAAATAGTATTCTAGAAGTGCAAATATACGCGTTGGTTGATGGAAATGTACTTTTCTTCGAGTTTGCGATCTTCTAGGCACTTAGTTTATATAACTACTTCGAATCGACATTCCTTAAAATCACTGTAAAAATTGAACCATGTCTTCTTCTCTTCCTAATTCTTCCAACTACATTGAAGTGAAAGAAAATTGAGTAGAGAACTTGGGAAACTTTGCTGTTTAAAGGAAGAAGAGATTCGTCTTCTCCACTTCGATTTTCATTTGATAGAAAGGGAAAGTTTCAAAACATTACCCAACACGAAACATAATGAAAATTCCCTGTTTTCTGGATATTACTTAAATTGCCAGATTTGCGATAATTGAGCCTTAGTTTGTACACGAATTGAAAATGAATCGAACACTAGCGCTTGCTGGCAAAATTCAAAGAAATACAAAAAGCGGTGGGTGAATACTTGGTTATAATAGTCATTCTTGTACTCCTCATTATCTGTAGGTATTATAACAAAAACTGTACATGGCACCGCGTAACAAAAGTTTCAATACATTCATTGAAGCAAAATGCTATACTTCGACATTGATCATTTAATGCGGTGTGTTTAGCATTGAAATTATTGTGGAAATTGTCACCACTAACATTTTTATTTTCTAAGCTTACCCATCCACATCACTAGTCAAATTCTGGCCTCAAGGTAGCAGATGTGACGTTGATGCTAAGCCACCGGAAGTTTGCCAGTTATATGACTCAAAATCAGACATTTAAGGGCTTTTACTTGATGTACTAAAAACTAGTTTTCACGTGAGAGGGTTCTCATCGCCAGGTATTTACAAGATTACAACCATAACTTTACAACTACATTAACAAATAACACTCTCAGAAAAGTTATGTAATTAATATATTAATAGCTTTACATTTTTGAATACAATTGAATTAATAAAGTATGGACGTATAACATTTATTTTTATAACTATATATTTTCAATATTTTTTGCGTTACTATTCGTCTACATCTGTATCATGCTCAGAAGTTGTCAACATTTTTTGCTTTTATTTATTGAAAACTGGTATTCTTCAGCGGCTTTATCTTAATATTCAGTTGTAAAAATGTATGTAATGAATGTTTCAATACGAACAACAAAGTCGTAATATTATATATATATATATATATATATATATATAACTCAAGCCCTCGTGGTCACCCTCGACACTCACCTGATTGCCTGATTATTTTCTCGGATTCAGCGTTGCACCGGCTGCTCCGTCCTTAGAGGGAGGCAGGAGTCATTGGGGCTAACTACAATTACCATCACTACATTCAAAACAAGGTTTCATCTGTTTTAAAATGAATTTATTGAGCCGAATTTGCGATTGAGCCTCATACTAAAATTAATGTTACTAACTACCTTCAAACTAATCTTATCTTATATGGCCGTCATGGCCAGAGTTCATCTACGTCCGTTAGGCATTGCCCTTTCGGGCGGTCGTGCCCCGGCTTGGGCGAGCGGTAACCCCGCGTCCCAGCGTCTGGAAGTGGTGCGGTCGCAGACGGTGCCGCAACATCAGTCCTTTGTCCGTCAGCGTAGGGCGGCCAGTGGCGTCGTCGCGTGGGTCATGAGCCCCTCCTGTTGCATTAGCGACGATCATCGGCCGGTTGGCGTCTTTGCGGCGCGGCAGCTGGTGGGCGACAGTGCATCGGTCCGTACGTTGGCAGCACGATCCGTGGTCGCGTTACTCGTGTCCCGGCCCGCCAGAACTTCTAGTTCGGGCACTTACGGGCATGGCCCACTGCAACTGTTTCGAGCCATCGTCCCCAGAGTCGGCCTGAGATGCCTCGATAAGGCGAGGCATTCGGGCAGCCGCGCGGTGACTGTGCCCGCTCGCGTCCCCCCATGAATATAAGCACAGTCCGAATGTTGAAAGCTGAATCCGAGGTCAGAATGTAGAAAGCTGGCTCCAAGGATCAGAATATAATGAACGTACGTGCGTCTTCAGCTTGTCACGAAGGTTCCACGAATCACGTGACACTCCCCCGCGTCATTTCTCGCGATTGGTGGGCGCGCCTCACGCGGTTTCTCCGCTCTATCGCGGCCTCGATGACGAACGCTCGCGCTTTGCTAAATTCCGGGAAACTCCACCATCATTCGAGTTCCGAGAGAAAGGCGCTCGTTTGGGGGGCGGCAAGCATACTTCCCGATGAGTCAAAGGGTGTGGCCTGTCGTGGATTGCGCCTAACAAAAGGGCTGGATTCCACAGATCCCAGGCGCACCCGAAAAGGTTTTAGGTAGAGACAAACTACGCGTTTCATGGCGTCCTTCTCAGAAAATACGGAACATCCCAGAGTAATGTGAGTTTCTGATACCCTCGCATGGCCTTGGGCAGTCTGTCTCAGGCCTTACAATGCGGGCAGGGAGATGCGCGAATAGAAGCCATGTCCGTACACATTCCTACGCACAGAGAGTCGGGATGGAGGAAATTTCATTATAGCCTACGCCATGAGAGACCCGCGACCCCTAGGTCGAATTCTACGTTGACAGCTGAAGCCCTCTCCATTGTGCGGCACCCATGACTAAATCGCGTGTCACTGAGATAGAGAATTTAAACTAGACCTGCAGATGCATTCTTT